ACCTACCTACCTTAACTTATTTCACGTGATTCAACATGCTGATAATTGTACAACGAGTTATCCAATAAATTCTTGTTTCATTCTAATTAGGTCCAGCTGCGCTGTTATCACCTACAATTTGATTAGCTGTCAAAACTACTCCAACCAAATAACCGAACGTAGCTTTCCATCCCGATAAATAGGGGTCTTAGTTATGCAGCATCGGAATTCCGACACATACCACATCCGCACAGTCAATCACCAGCTGGTGTGTTTCAATGGCAAAGGGCACGTCAGTTAACGAACCAGCCAAATTGATATGGCAAAAAAATCAACACCTCTCATGTTCCACAGTCGCTGGATTCGTTTTGTTCTATGCCATCTACCTAACATTGGAGAGAAAACACCTGGTCATATTCTCAGTCAATTTGTATTGTATAGGGGCGCGGTTACTAAAAAACATAGGCAAACTGATAAGCGTGGCAGACAGAATGTTTTTTCCACTTACAACAGACATGCCTTGCCGATAGCTGGACAGTGTTACGACACTTTCCACAGGCGCCTTGCCGCTTCAATAAAAAGATGATGGACAGACCCTGGGGGTGAAAAAGCTTAGTTGTAGGACAATGCACCTACAGACTTTATAGATTCCTACAGAATTATTGTGGTGCAAATCTAGAGACACCAAAGTTCACCAGTGCAGAAAAAATGAAGGAAAGAAAAAAGGCTAGGATTAACTTTTTCAGTGTTCTTACAAAAACGCTCCGCGCCGTAACAAACCATCTATTTTGACGGCTATACTTGTTACTCATCATCCTGTGGTTATTTTATTCCTAAGGCTCACACTGCTTTCCAAACGTTGTTCAAATTCCATGCTGTTTTGTATTCAAATTAAAAACAAACAAAGAAAGTTCTAGTCTCGGAAGTTTTAAATTTTCTCATAAATGTAATCGGACAGGACGAGTTTTCCGAGGCTCACTTAAGGAGGATGCTTCAACAGACCGATATTAGAAGGATGTTCTGCCTGTTTTAAAGTGAAAGATATTAATTCGGTAATTAAGTCAAAAAATAAGGATCGAACTGAGGATTTTTAGTCATCAAATGAAAAGTAAAAGACAGTCAAATAAGCTGGGTCCGTGAATACGAATTCACGTGTAAGAGAATTTTCCCGATACATCGAAGAGGCCCTTATGGCATGGACTGAATATCACTTCGGTCACATAAGCAACAATTTCGCACATGTGCTGATCCACTTAAAACACAATTGATGTTTTCACTAGTCCTTGATATCACATGTAAACTGATCATTCCTTGATTACGTAACTAACACAGCTAAAAGTGGATATTGGCATATGTGAGCACCTCAAATGGACCATCAACATAAGTAAGTAATGACGTAGAAGAGAGCTTTTATCAGATTCGAACAACCAGTCCGAACTTCGTCACGTGGGGAACAGGTGAAATGGGGTGCATCTGTAAGCAATGAATGACACACGTCCAAAATAGATTCGCGATGGTGGTTGAACAAAATGAAGTCTTTGTACAGTCGAAAGACTACTGTTGGGTGATTATCTCGAATTTCAAGCAAAACCGCTTTTTGATCACAACGGACTATCTACATGGATGACTAGATGTGCAATATGCTTTATGATGAAAATCACACTAATGACCCACCAATGGTACGTATATCATATAATACCAACTGCAGTAATGATAATAACGGTAATAGCAACAACGGCCATTTGACTTTAGAGTCTGACAGCTCCCATCCTGAACGTAAACCAATGTTCTAATGGGTTGAAAACGGTGGCATCAAAGAAACTTCAGTAAACGTGAGTTCCTTTGGGTGTGCAGAACAACCAATCTTTTAAAATTTGGTTAGACGATGCGTGTCAGTCGGTGAGTGAGGTAGCTCCAAAATACGCGATTGTGTAAGATATGGTGCGCCCTCCTGGCGTGAATTCGGAGAGGTGTGTAGTAGTTCTTTCGAACAACATGACACTCATAGGTGTGAACCAACACAGACACTGAGACTTGGCTTGAACAGATTTGTGGCACCTGAGTGAAAGTTCAGGTGACTTGCTGGTAGTTTGGATTTTCAATATGGTGTACTCCATCTTTGTCATTGTTTCATTGTTCAGGCTTAACCTTCAGAGGGAAAGCTGCACGGACTGCAAACCAGGACACCTTGTCATGTCCATAGGTTTTTTCACTCTCGTCCTCAACTTTTTTCATTGCATTTTTGGAAACACTGTTTTCTCAACGGTATGCTTGTGAGCATTTCACACTTACATGTATAATATCTACTGGGAAAATATGAAGATAAGAGAACAAGATTAGAACAGTTGAAGGGTTTCGTTTTAGACACTTAAATTTAGACGGTTTTAAACTAGAGAAGTGTGTAATCGGCAACGACCATGTGAGCTTCTTGTAAACATAACCACTGACAATTCTAGAGAACCTCTGTGTAGCATAACCAATGTTCTGTTTACGGATTTGAATTTGAGTTTGATGAAGGTCACTGGGGCTCTAAATAAACTTCACAAGCTGTATGTTTTTGTTAGCGATTCACAACTTATGGAAGTAGACCTTGGAGTTACCAGATTCACCTCCTTTCTTTCAATTTAAAGTATCTTAAATAACGACACTGAGTTGCCTTTAGAGCTGATTCTGAAATTTGTCGTTTACATTCTCAGTGCACGGGAGATGTTGAATTTTAAGTCCTCTGCTGAAAGTAATCACAGAAATGTTTGTGAAATTTGATTGCTGCGCTTACCCGGATAAGCCCACATGGATAGTATATGTGATAGTTTCCTGAATAACTGGATAGAATTTGCTGCTAAGATGTTAGGTCATTTAGTGAAATTTGGAACCGTGATGGGTTATTAGGTTAGAATACGCTTCAGCTGTGCATCATTCGGAAAAGTTGGCTTGGATGTGTGTCTTATAAAACTATCGTCCCACCGAACACAAGACTACAAAACAGGAGTGCCCTGAACTGGACGGTTTTCCTAAAAGCATAAGGGAAAGTCATTGTGTACACGTTTGAAGTTTGTAGCGTCAAGTGGAATCTTTATTGCAAAGCGCATTTTTTCAGTTTTTCGATGACGCACGTTCCCTTGCCTTGCAGATTTATCCACTCAATTTGGAAGTTAACCTCCCAAAACTATTCTCTGAAGCAAACGCTGTAGTGATAAATTTCGCTATGACTGCCTTATCCTTAGATATTCATATGAAACAGCTGAATAATCTCCAGCAATTTTATTCTGTAACTTAATGGGTTCAGGCTCGCTGGTACCTAGGCTTATACAGAAATATATACAATCACTTTCATAACAGACAGGAGAACTGGAGCATTTTGGAGATGTACGCCGGATAAAGCGTAGTTGGTTCAAGGAGCACGCACATCTACAATTAGTTGGAAACTGGAAAATCTACTATTGACATTGTCATAATCTGTATCAATGAAGCTCCAAAGTAAATCCTGTTTAACTGAGTTCCACGTCTTATACTCACTGAGATCGCCTTCGAACGCGGTCTATTCCGAGTTAAGTTTTGTATGTGAGAAAACGAAGGTAAGGTTGTCTAGACCGGAGTTGTCACACCGGAGTACTTTGGGGTGCAACGTATGATCTATTCACTTTTCGGTTCCAACTTTTCTTTCTCACTTTAATTACCCGCCGTTACCACCAATAGTTTCCTATTATGAACCGTAAAATGAACCATGATATTTGAAAATAACACTATTTCTGACTACTTGCTGTCAGTTCGATGGAATCTGAACTCTGACATGCCGCTGAAAACCTAGTTAGCCAGACCGCCGTTCCTAGACGCTCAGTTGTGCCAACCGGTTAGCAGTGAGTAGCCAGACAAAGATCACCGTGTTCTTGGACAGGAGCTTAAATATTTCACGATATAGTAGTAGGAATTGTGCAGGAAGCTTTCTCGATACGACTAAATCGTATAGAGGACGACGCTACCTTCTCAATGGAGAGGCGGATGGGGAGAACTCGTAAAAACAACATGCTTAGTCAGCTTAAGAAGTGATCAGCACCGACCGGCGAAAATGTTGTGCATAGCACTTATGCTTATTCCATTCGCCAATTAGGCTAGGTCAGCGTCTCATGGGCCAGTTAGAGAAGATCTTTTGGCCATTGCCTTCAGATTACCTCACTCTCAAAAGATCTCAACCTATTCATGTCATGCATCACAAACCTGAGGTCTGTGGTTAGAAAAAAGGTTCCATAAAATCACTGCATCTCCTTATACCGTATTTTAGCGCAATAAATTCAAACAGATAGTATCTTGTGCAATTTTTTCTGCAATCAGTTTTAGGGAGAGGAAAAGAGCCAAACGGTTTTAAGTTGATAAACGTATGAAAAGTACACAAAGCCACTGTGAGATGAAAAGCAGAAAAAAAGTAACTAATCCCGCGCACAACATGGGCTCACGTAGAACTGGAATGGGAAGAGTTGAACAGATTTTTAATCGAACATTTTTGGGGCCAAGTTTAAGTTTATCAGACACAGTTTACTTAAGCTGATAAAAAGGAGATGGGCAAATCAACAAACGTGTCACAGTGGTGTCGCTACAGTCAGAAAAATGGGAGGCTACGAAGAATGCGTCGTAGAGAATCCAGCTTTGGAGAGTTTCAAACAAGTAGAAAGTCTGACTTCAGAACAGATTCCAAAAGGATATTTTGAAGTCACGGTTGTTCGTAACTCTCCAAAGTACACCACCT